CTTTCTTAAAGGTTTATATATTTCAATAATATCATTAAAAAATCGAAAAACTACAAAGAAATTCTATGCCAAACTTCTATATTCTATTATTTATATTCTATATTTTATTATATATTTATTATATATTTATTATATATATTATATTATCTATCCTATTCGAATTTCGATCATTTAATGAAAGAAAAATTCCAGCTGTTTTTCCATTTTTATCAACCATTCTCTTAAAATAAAAAACACTTGATCAAATTTGATAATGTGAAAAAAACATCGTATGAAATATCATAATCAAGAGAGTGAATTTTTATTCCCAATTCATTAGATAAAAAGCATGGAGAAAAAGAATTGGAAAAATCTCAACTCATTGCTACTCTACTTTTATCAGTAGAATTTCCATCTAGTTTTATTTTCTTTGCTCTGAATAATGCATTTGATACAAAGTAAGTTACTGTGGCTTTTACTTTGTAACCCAAATAACCAATTCATCTTTTCGATTTTCCATGTGAAAAGATACTTATCAACTAAAAGAAAAAACATATAAATAAATGAACACTTCTTTATCTTTTAAATAGAAAATATATCATATAGCTTTAATTTTTTATTAATTTTATTTAATAAATATTTTGAAATATTTTTTTAGAATTTATAAATAAATTGAAATTTCATTTATTAAAAAAATATCACAAAAAATTTGAAAAAAAATTTTTTAGGAAATTTTATTTAAAATTTAAGAATAGAACAATTTTTTTCTTTTATAAAATAATAATTTGCAATATATTATATTATGCAATATATATTATACAATATATTGATTCAATCAACTTTTTCATTAATGTGTTGCTTTTTTCTTGATGTTATTATAATAATAAGAAATTAGTTATGTTTTCCAAGATACGAATTAGTTTCAAATAAATATATGCCATCAATAATTGCTTTAATTAACAGGAAATGTTATTAATCGAAAAAATAAAGAATAAATTAATCTTTCCTGTCATTATACTTATTTAATTGATTATTTTATTATGTTTATCTAATCTAATTTCATTATATTATCTTTAGTGCATATGAAATGTTGTTTTTCTAAATTTAAATTTTCACAAATGGAATAAAACTAATTAGACAAACAATATTAAAATTCAACAAAATTAAAATTTTAAATTTTTAAATGCAGTTACAGTTCTATTTAAACATTTTTTAAGGAAATGTATTCAAAAATAATCTAAATAAAAAAAATATTCTTATTTTTTTCTATCCATGATCTATTCAATATAGTATTTATTAATTTTTATAATATTTTCTTTAAAAGTCTTATTTGCATATTGTTTGCATATTATTAGCATTTAATATATTTGATTTATGATATATTTTTTTATTTAAAATAGTTATAAGGAGAGAAAATTGAATATTTTATAATGATAATTTAAAAAAATTTCCACTTGTAAAAATTATAATTTTAAATAAAATATATACCAATATTAAGATATTGTATTTGCATGATTAATCAATTACAGGCATGAATAGATTGTTATCAAACAGGATCGGTTAGCGAACAGCATATGAAACGTGACTTTTGCCAGCTGATCGTGTCATAATTATTTCTTTTTTTTTTTTTAATAGAAACACTCCTTCGCGAACATGGAATTAGCCAATGGTATCTATGAACGTTAACACACACCTTTCTATCACCTGATCGGTCTTTATAATATTATTTATGCGCTGAATTCCAAAAATTTCTGAAATATTTAATATTAATTGGAAGATTATACAAACTTTATACAAACTTTATGATTCTGAAATATATTTTATTGACTTTTTTTTGAATTTTCTTCGATGTCATTTTTATTTTAAATAAATTTTTTTTATATAATTGAAAAGATAAATTTTTTTCGATCTAATATCTGCTACATATTATACTCAATACATATCATTATTGTAATCATCATATTATACTTTGTAACACAATTGTGCACATTTTTAATTAGCATGATCATATATGTTTATGTATGAGAAATTTCTTGCAACCTCTAATAAATATATTCTTATCTTCTTCATCTAAAAAAAGCCAAAGAATAAATATAACTATTAAAATGAAATAAAATTATTCATGATTTATTTCAAACATTATATTATATATTTATATTATTTTACATACAATAACAACATACATAAACATTATTCCAAAATTAAATTAAATATCATGCTATTTGTATTGAAGAATCATAAATGTCAATTTTCTATAATTTCATATCATCTTAATTTTAGAAAAAATTATAACACTTTTCTCATTTATAAAATAAAAAATTAAAATTTCTTAATAAATCCAAAAATTATTTATATTAAATTTAATCTCGCACGTCATTTCTTGCAATAATAAAATTAAAATTGAAAACGAATGTTAAATTCGGTAGTCGAGAAAATGTACGTTTAAATTTATTGATTAATTAATTTATCTGCACATATCTCATCTATATTGAATTACATCCAAGATTCAATCATAAATACATTGATCAATATACATTTTTTGACTAATATCATTTAAAGTAGACAAAATACTCTGCAATATACTTAAATTATAAAAACTAAACGCTTCTCATATTAATTTTATTCTCGAATCGATATCGATCGACCAATCGCGTCTGCAAACGTCGATACACGCCTTTCTATTACCTCGATGAAGGTAACAAACCAGTTCTTAACCCGGTATCTGTTTAACCCGCGCTATTTATCATTTTTAAATTAACAATTTAACTGTATTACGAGTTTCCTAATTATTTTCGTAATTATGAATAATATAATATAAGTAATATTTGAGTAAAAATTAACTTCATCTCGCTTTTCTTTTTTTCATTTGCATTTTATGATGTTCTTTACGATTTATTTTAATTTTTCAGAATGATTGAATAATAAATTTTTAATTAAATAATTATAAGAAACCTTTTTATAAAAATCAATTTTAATTTTTCGAATTGAATTCTGATTAATGACTATAGTTATTAAATTTTCTTTATAGGCCATATAAAAGTATATATTAAATAAAAAATACATGAATATCGATAAAGGAGGAAAAACAAGACAAAGAAAAAAACATCGAAATCAACACATATTGTCATTCTTGTACATAAATAACTAAGATATTTATGTTCTATCACAGATTTCATCGGCAAATATTTCACATTAATTCTCCTGCTGACAATGACGCTATACAAGTCAATCAATCACAAGTCTCGAAAGAAAATTCCTCGCTCTTGACAAATAGTCACGAAAAGAAATATATTAATTTTAAATCATTAACGAAGAAAATAATTTTAAACAGATAAACAATTTTATTCATTAATCTAAATTAGAATCTTTTAGAATATTATGAAATTTCACAATCTCAAAAAGGAATATAATAAAATGAATTCTAATCGTTTTACAAATTTTTAAATTAGTGTTAATCCAAACATAACCTCTGGTACTGATTTGTTTCATTTTTACTTTAAATAATAAAGAGCAAAAACTATCGATAAAATACGAAATTAATCCATTTGACATACCAAAGGTTCCATATGTGTTTCGCATCTTGCTTCTCTGTTGATCCACAAAATCCTTTCTTATTGGATATGCATGGATGAGCTGATGGAAACCGACCTTTACACTATGGGTCAATAAACGAGAAATATACACACGTGATTGAATGAAATAGGCAAGATCAACGTAAATCGTCAGCAAAGCGGGATGGAAAAGAAACGAATAATAAGATAACACGTATATAAGAAGATATCGTATGTACTATCGACAAGGAAATGGCTGGAATCGATAGTCGATCCTGCTGCGCTCGCCATTTACATGGACGATCGAAAGGCGAATTGTAATTGCATCTATATGACCGCAACGCGCAATTCATAACCTAACCACAAAAAAAGAACCGATTTATTGATTAAGTTACAGTTTTTTGTTTTTCAAAATTTTCTATGATTCACCAATAGCTTATCAATTAAAAAGGAAAGTTTAAGAATTTGTTATAATGATGTATTATTTTGGGTGTCACTTTGTTGATTACATCGGAAATAATTACATCGATATTTTTGATATCGATTGATATAGAATAATTTCTATATTAAAATATCGAAATATCGTATGTAAGTTTGCAACGCCATAAAATTATCAAAATAATTATTGATAATAAAATACGTGAAAGTCATATCATAAAGACTTTATAATAAATTATAATATCAATGATTATAATTAATTAAATATAACTATATATGAAAAATTACAACTGAATTGTTATAATTAATTAGGATAATTTAGACAATATTCAATAATCCAGTATAAATATTATGTATATGTATTTCTGAAATTGAGCACGGTTAGAATCAAATGTCAAATTATGTTGTATAATAAATCATAAAACAAAACAAATCGCGATTTGAGAAGTATATTAAATTTCGATCAGTAATGAATTGAAAACTTATGAAGGATACTAAAGAACAATGATTTACTAATAATGATTATGTCATTAAATATTCAATAATATATAGTATTTCATTTTAATAAAGATATATTATAATAAGATATATTTAAAAAACCCTATATCATAAAATCCAGAAAGATATAAAAAATTTCACTTTGAACTTTCTCTCTATATTTACCTTTTTTTTTTCTCGTATATGTATTTCGTTGCCTTATCTGTCAATATATGTAAATATAGATAAATAGCTTATTTGTATTGGAACAAGTGACAACTACTTGTTGAATCATAAAGTTGTAAGTTAACTCGACATCCTTTAGGATATTTATAGTATAAAAACAAATCACAATGAAACAACCAAATGAAAATTAAAGCTTAAAGCTTACGATTATTTTTAATATTTCATCTCGAACAAATGACGTTATTATTAGAATTTCTTTTATTGTTTGTGCATTTCTCGTATTGTTTTTATCATCTGATGATTGCTTCTACGAATACAAATAAGGAAAAGAAAAAGATAATTAAAAATCTTGAACAAGTTAATTACATAATTGTACTGTGCGTGTCTTAAGAAATCTCGTGAGAAAATACAAATGATACTGCTCTTGATAAA